AACTGACAAATTCATCTACATGTATGTCTTTCCTTGTGGATCATTTTGCTCTCTACAATTCTGTCTATCTAATTTAGTTTCCAAACAATAGGCAAAAACGCAACAAAAAAAAATGGTGAAAATCGTCATTTAAGAGCAAAAACTCATATAAAGAGCCAATTGACGATTTTCGCAAAATTGACTTAATTGTAGTTCTTCTTTTACTGATTCTTTTTGTTTTAAAAGTTTCTAGCTATCTATTACAGTTTTCAAGATATTGGACAAAAACTCAAAAGAAAAAGGGTCAAAATCGTCATTAAAGGAACTTATTGGTAGATCTTGTCTTGCTGATCAGTTTTGCAATATAAAGTTCAAGACTATCCATTATAATTTTCACGATAATAGGAAAAAAAGAAAATAAAATGGTAAAATTCGTCATTTCAGGCAATAACTCGTACAAGACGTCGTCTGACAGTTTTGATGTTAATAAACAGAAAGTAGATAGATCTCACCCGTTTGAACATTTTTGCACTTTATCAGATTTTTCTCTTTCTATGGTGATTTTCAATATAATAGACAAAAATTGCATTTTACCATTATATTCTATTTTTAGCCATATAGGTCATGTTGGTTGGCAGACGGGGTCAAAGTTTCGTTAAATTTGGCCTAGTACTAGTAGTTTCAGAGAAGATTGTCTTTGTAAAAGTTAACGGACTTCGAACGCCTTAAAACCGAGGTAAATAAGACTGTGCTTTTTTAATTGTTAGAACCAATAACTATAATACACGGAATGTCCCGATCAATTATCAATTTAGAACAAACAAAAACAGACGTCCTTGTATTCTATTTTCTCAAACAGGTCTCCTTAGTTTTTTTAAAAATGTAATTCGTGTAGAATTCTGGGTTTTAATGTAATTTTGCCTCCAAAAACTTAAATGTATCGTGCTCTATTTCAACTTCCACCTCCACCTCCACAATGTAAGCAAAGGAAAGATGCAGGACAGACGGAAAGGATTTTAGTTGCAATCACATCAAAACACTATATTAAAAAAATATGTTTCGTTTGTGATTATCCATAAGTTGGTTAAAAGAAAATATTTTGTTTTTCTGGTGTAAATGAGATTTTTGTTTTGCGCAAATGAAACGCAAATTCGCGCAAATGCAAAACGCCGCACAATTTACAATCCTTAACCTGTTGCATGGTATATTGTATAACAATTAAACTATCAAGTGCTACTTCTATGTCATTGTGTTTAATAAAACATGAATGGATTGATAGAGGACATCAGTTCACGTTTGACTGGAACACAATTATTTCAAACCTTAAAAAAAGAAAATAAGGAGAAAAAAGCATATTTGGGAAAAATGTGAAATTATTTTTTGGAAATTCGTTTCAAATTTATTAAAACTGAAGAATTTTAAGTATATTATGCAGTTGAACTTATAAATAAGCATATAATCTAGACAGGGGAAGGTAAAATGTAAATCACAGTGGATATCTTTTTTTCGTTTTTGGTGTTGTTTTTTGACCGAATGAAATCAATTGAAAAATCCTTCTGTAAAGTCTAACTATTGATCAAGAAGATAAATAAAAAGAGCATATCTACATTACCTTTACAAGGTTATTAAACTTCTTTGATAAAGTGAAATATCAGAAACGTACCATGTTAAAACTACTTTCAATGACATAAATAATATATTAGGAAAAAAAAACTGTATGAAGGGAGCTCTATTTATAATAAAAATAAAGAAAATATAGAGAATCTTGTTTTCAAACAAGTTATATTGTGATTATATATTTTAATACCCAAAACAATGTTGATTAATGTGACCTTTAAAAATATATACTGCGGCACAAACTAAAAACTTAATACTAAATTAATAACATAATAGTCATGTGTGTATTGTATATCTGCCAATAATAAAAATAGTATTAATAACAACACACTAATTGGTACGTGGTATTTGGTAAACTACAGGGGTTATAATAATAATGGTTTCAATGCCAGTACATTAGCCCTTACAACTGAGAAAATTATACCATAAGGGCCACCAGGCTAGTAATACCCTTAGTCTTGCAGTTCACTATAGAAGTGGTATCATCCACACGCTTATTCGTACTTTCATGCTAATTTGAATAACAAAACGTTCAAAATAACAATGGTAAATATAACACACCCGTATGATTCAAATAACATTATGCAGTAACTAAAGACATTTTAAGATATGGTACTTCAAAGATTTATGTGTTGTATGGAAGGAAACGCAAATATTTACATAAATCACTATTATAGGTCAATATTATAAAGAAACTCATTGTGTCCTCGGTACGAAAACAAGCCAGAATTAGCAAAAAAGCCTCTCGTAAAGTTCGTAAAGTATTCAAATACAATGTTCTTACAAACATGCGAGTTATATTAAACTTTTTATACTAGTATTTTGACCTTATATTCCAAAACCAGCAGGTATATAATACAACATATAGTCAATGTCGGAGTCGTTAAATATATGAACGTTTATAACATTTATTTACAACTGTGCTTGGGTACACGTAGCTACTACGATTTTAACCATATTTAAAACTACAAATTTTAGGAAGGATATTCATATAATCAGTCCATTACATTATTTTTTCAAGGAGTGATTGATTGATTCGTTTGATTTTGTTTGAACTTTTGATTTTGCCATTTGATGAGGGACTTTCCGTTTTGAATTTTCCTTGGAGTTCGGTATTTTTGTTATTTTACTTTTTACAACTATATTATATGTATATTAAATGGTTCATCTTTTGATATAAAATTAGTATTTTGTTTCCACAATAAAAGAAGGACCAAGTTGTAAAAAGAAAGTATTCAAATTGTTTACATAGTAAACGGTCAAACTATTTAAACAAGGACAAATTAATTCCTGCTTATAGCAATTTTGGCAAATAGAAAATTATAACTTTAAGATTTGTAGGGTTTGTTAGATACATTGTATTCACGCATATAAAGAAATCTGAAAGCAGTATTTTTAATTAATTAAAAGAGGTTTAGCCAAACATATAATCTCTAACGTCGAAAATTTATACTATCGTATATTATTGTTTTATATATATTAAATATTACTGATGAAATTATGTAAAGGCTAAGTTTTAGACTTTTAAGAATTTAAATAAATCATAAATGGTAAACTTAACCATACACGTAAGTGTCTTAAATATGAGACCTAAGAACTGGTTTAAATACACCACCACCTTCATCCAAGGATACTAGTCGTTTTCAGTAATCTATTTGGATGATAACCCCCCACCCCCCCGAAATTACCATTTGATTACGACATTTACTTTTGAAATACCAATGAAATTGTAAACTATATAAGAACCAAACAACAGACGATCACAGAATATCCAAACTTTTACAGGAGACTTTTAAATATAATAGTCCGATAACAAGACGTGAAGGAATCCGAGATACTGCACAAATAAGTAACGGAAACTATGTAAATATAGTTTTATAAAGATGAAAAATGTATTCATCTTATGACCAAACACTCGATAATTGCGAAATTAGTTTAAGTGTAAAAGAGACGATTTCTCCATCTACACAACACAAGAGATCAAATGCAATATCATTTTCTGTTGTCTGAAAATCCCTGTTTTAAGATTCCACCCCCGTTAATATCATAGTTCTCACTTGATCTGTTAACCTATAAAACCTGTAGGTACTTCTATCCAATCACCGAAACAGTTATGGACTGGTGACTTGAGGGTTCAATCAAAAGTGGCTACTTTATTTTCAAACAGCCAATGCATAACATCGTTACAGAGGAAAAAAATCACCTATACAGTCAACAAAATATGCAGTGACGAAAGATGCACAATTTAACCAATACACAAATGATACAACAAAGCTTAACCAGGAGGACAGAAAAAGTTATTTACACATTTTGTATGCATACAAAGTTTGGTTAGAATTGTCATGTTTGATAAAGTATTGTTACTTGAAGGGATCATAGGGTGGTGACCCCTTTTTTATGAGAAGAATAGAATATTGTTAAACCATCAAAAGTAAAACAGTCAATACTAAATTGAGGCAACCTATTATAGGCAAAAACGAATAAATTAAATGATAATAGTAATAAAAAAAAATATATTAAAAAAAAAAAAAAAAAAGTGGATCTAAGAACCAATGACAAACAAACAAACTAAAGTTAGTGTTCGACGCGCAGATTTATTTGATTATTCATAACGTGTATGGAAATATGTGTAAGTTCACATATTTTTTTGCGCTAAATATAGCGTTAGTTTATCATATTTAGCAGCTTTTGCCATTACTAAATTTTGGTTCACTGCCTTGTATTTTCCTTTACTTATAACATCATAAATAAGGAGTTTATTTTTAGTTACCTTTCTTTTGCTTCAATATATGCCCATAAAAAAAGAGAAACAATAAATACTAGTAATATGAAATTCAAATTTATAATCAGTTAAACACGATACAGAAATGACAAATTTGGAGACACCTACATGTAATTAAAAAAAAAAAAACCAAACAAACAATAAAAAGAACAAAAAAAACCCCACCAAAAAAACAACAACAACATATATATGAAAAGGGAATATGCATATGTACTAAACAGCAATTGTCTTCCCGATTTCAGCAATGGTATGTGGTTTGTCAAGGATGTATATTATATACTATAGATCAAATATACGTCCTAGGTAGGCAAACATATTTGACGCTGACTTCAGACGGGGTTATCGAAATGCATACATATATAAATAAAATACGCTACTTATATGAACAAGTGTCCGTATTTCTCGAAACTATAGATAAGCACAAACTATATCTGTAGAATAATTACTATGAAAAAGCTATATAATGATATGCGCCTTGTTTTACAGTCCCTGGAAATTGAACAGATCATACTATTCTACTTTTTACATAAGAACAATAAAAAATTCTGCCGTCTGTTAAATGAACCAATAAGAAGCTTGTAAGACTCTTGAATGTATCTCCATGTTAAAGAAAACAACATACCTGAATATAAGATAGACATATCACAATAAATAAATGGGTTACTTCCATTCTATAATCGTAAGAACCATTGTTCTGACATTCATATTAATCCAGTCTTCATTTCAATTACTTGAAAATTAAATGAAATGTGTTCCTATTAAATCTATTTCTGAAGAAATTAAACTTCTTATATTTCACACGTATGTGTACATAGGTTTAAACGCTTGTATTATCGTCACAAATTCTAACAAAGTTTTATGGTATAAGCAAAACTTGATACAAGTTAGGACGCACAGTGCCTCCTATCTATGCTACCAATTTCGCAACCATTTAAAAATGTCGGTTCAACTGTATATACCTGTGTAAATCAATAAATCAATTGAAGTTTTTGAATTGTATAGGTAGATACGTCCTAGCAAGTCTGAAGCTTATTTAAATCTTTTAAATGTAATAATCTAGGCCTTGTGCATATCAGATTATTTATAATGTAATAATGTATAATCGACCTGTCCTTTAAATGGGCTTTCATTTCTGCAGTATACTAATAAATGTAAACAAACGGATTTATTCTTTTTCTTTATGCATTAAGAAATATTGATAAAAGGTAAAACGATAAGATTTTATCTCGAGCATTATGTACAGGGCATGAAAGAAAGAGAATAATCAGATATCGATTTGATGTTCGCAGTATTAATTGGAAAGAATTGTTGCAAACCTAACCTTTTTAATTGCCAGTAGCTAAAAACGCACTGCACCTGATTTTAAATACAAAAGCATCGACATAAAGTTGTTTCAGAAATATATACATTTGCGTCCAGACTACAAGAAAGGTTAATGTGTCAATCACTACCAGACACACACGGTTAATGTGTCAATCACTATCAGACACACAAGGTTAATGTGTCAATCACTATCAGACACATAAGGTTACTTGGAAGAGTCTTCGGACCTTGCTCATTAGTGCTAGATAAAACATCAGTTTTAGATTATGTTTTTGTACATAACTTCTTTCAATATCATTACCATTGTCTTTCTCTCATTTTGGATGCGCAAATATGCAAAAAGAGTATCACTGAAAAGAATCATGTTACTGGGATTAAAAAGTTGAGTGCCAATACAATGAAAATCTTCCTATGAAAAGCTCTTTAGAGCTTATGATCAAATGTTTGTCAATATGCCGAATATAAATAAAGTTTTTATTTCTTTCCGAACTAAGTAAAGAGCCTGTAGTTCAGTAGTTGGTTCAAGTCTGTCGTATTTGTTTTTCTTAAGTTGTTTTGTTTTAAATAAGGCCGTTAGTTTTCTCAATTGAATTGTTTCATATGTTTCATGTCGGGGCCTTTTATAGCCAATTATACGGTATGTGTTTTTCTCATTTTTGAAGGCCGTACGGTTGCCTTAAAGCCACCTCATTTGAACTTTGAAGTAATACCGATTTGAACAATCATACCATATCTCCTTATCTTTATATAATTTGCAACCTTTGTCTATGTTTTGTTTTTGTTGAATGTTTCATTTTAATTTGCATAACATGAATTACTTTTTGGGCAGATTAAAAAGGTGAGTGATACTTCAAATAATCGTATGGACTAGTAGCTACCTATGTTAACATTTGTCTTCATTTGGTTTTTTTTTTTGCTTTTTTGTAAAAGGAGTGTTTGATTTGTTTTTTACGCGTTCCGGTCTTTTTTTTTACAACAGTAATATTGTTGACTAATGCGTGTCAACTTTCTATAGCAAAATGTGAAGCATCTGAATATTATTTATTAACACGATTGTTTGATTCAATATAGCGGTGGAAATGATTTACTGGTTCTCATAGTTTTTTCTGATTAGAATTTTAAGTTTTGAAAGCTATTGTGACAAAAACGATCGTAAGAACACGTAGCATAAATTGCCAAACCATGTTTAGTTGTAAGCTATGATAAGCTATTCATAAGGTAGCTGCAAACCAGTGATAACGTCAATTACAACACTGGCTGATTTGATTTTATATGAACAATAATCTGTTTGTCTACATTGAGATTACATAATTCCCTTATCAATCAGTTCTGAATGTCACAAAATTTGCAGGCATGTGTTAATACATTGTTCTCAGTAGATCCTGGCATTCAATTTGAATGTATATTTAATCAACACATAAAAGAAGAGTAAATGATCAACATGCTACTCTTGAATGGAGGCTTGTTGGTCCCTCTTGCATGTTTAATGTAAAGACACTTAAAATGTTTCTTTCGTTGTAATATTCATTAAAAACACTTTCTGGAAGATTTGTGTTGCACTCTTAAGGTTTCATTAATGACTAAGCAACTAATGACAAAATCAGTGTTTAGCTTAAGAAACCCCAAATTCCCTTAAAAAAGGAACTGTAATACTCTTATATAAAAAAAAATAATATGCAAATGCGAGATGCATGTCGCTTCTAGATCAATTGATTTGTTTAAAGGTTGAATACACCCATATATACTGATCAAGAAACGATAAGGTGCGGATGTACTTGATAAAGATTGAAACAACAGAAAATAAACAATATATCATAGTAACAACACTTTTGTTGATGTTCTTCATCTTAAATTTGCTGCAAGGTCGACGACGAAGTAATACAAACCGACCTTATAACTTATGGCATGTTCCAAACGGCCCAAGCAATAATTTAGAAAATCGATACTCTTTAATATCAATCGACAATCTCTACATAAGTCTCTGAATGAAGCCCCACCCCCCTAATACCTATATACAATGTAGAATAAACAACCACACAGCAATACAGTAACACTCAGTTTAAAAGAAGTCCGAGTCCGATGTTAGAATAGGTAACAGAAGAAACCAAGCAAAATGACAATGATCAACATAAATTAACAAAGGACTACTAGCAGTTACTGACATGCTCTAGACCTCAATTAAACTGATTGAAAGATTATATCTTCATCATATGAAAGTCAAGCACAATTCCTCCCGTTAGGGGTTTAATATCATACCATCATAAAATATACGAGAAGAACACAACCCGTATCATGCCAACAACTGGTTTTAGAATAAATGTGTTTATTTCCGATGCAAAGACCCTACGAGTGGATCAATATTAATTCCAAAAATGCCATCTTTAATGATCTGACAACAGTATCGTAACTATATCCCTTCTGAATAAGTCTGTTTAAAGGTTTGGTTAGCTTTTGAGTTGTATAACGACATTTTTGTGCTTTGTATAGAATATTACCATAAAAGATTGGATGTGAAATACCTGACCGTATAAGATGTCTGCACGTTGATTTATATTTACGAAGGATGTCCTTGTACCGATAATAAAATTTAGTAAATGTTTTGACAAGATATGCATCCTTTCTGACTGTTTTTGTAACATATAGAATTAAGAATGGAAACGGGGAATGTGTCAAAGAGACAACAACCCGACCAAAGAGCAGAAAACAGCCCAAGGCTACCAATGGGTCTTCAACGCTGCGATAAAATTCCGAACCCGGAGGCTGGCTTCATCTGTCCCCTAAACAATAGTGCATACTAGTTCAGCAAAATGGACGCCACACTTAACTCCGAAACATATAAATGAACCAAAATTAAGAACACACAAGACTAACAAAGGCAAGAGATTCCTGCCTTGGGACAGGCACAAAACTGCGGTGGGGTTAAACATGCTTACATATGCATCCTTTCTCATTGTTTTTATTACATATGCATCCTTTCTCATTGTTTTTATTACACTTGCATCCTTTCTCATTGTTTTTGTCACATATGCATCCTCCTTTCTCATTGTTTTTTGTTACATATGCATCCTTTCTCACTGTTTTTGTTACATTTGCAATCTTTCTCACTTTTTTGCGTTTTCGAAATTTTTTCTATGAGGTAAAAATGTGTTATGCACGTTTTGATTAGCGCTGTGCATTGCTGTTGTTTTACAGAGATCTTACAGTAGCAATGACGAAATACAATAGAAATAAGAAGACAAGTCAGTCATCTTAAAAAGACTGCACTTATTTAAGTAGACAGAAGAATATATAGTTATCATAAACACATAATTACCTTTATATATATTTATTATTAATGACTTGTGCATCATAATATTCGATTATGAATAAGTTTATAGTAGCTACATATGCTTCATTTAGTAAAATCTTGTGTTCTATCTGGATAAAGATCTAAACGTTTTATCTTGCCATCATGGTGTCTTCTAACAGATGAATTATTTATAAGTGTCAAAGCTTTGAACCACATATTCTGGATGCGTTTCCGTCTTTGGATCAATTCACTGCCTGATATACTATTTTGATACCCTGCATGATTTCCAGGTATTTCTAATGATATGAACTTTCTTTTGTCTTTGACCATTAGCGTTTGACGCAATTCCTCACAAAACACGATCAAAATAGGGTTCCTATGGTATAGTTCTAACATTATAAGACCAACATATGTTGCATATCCTGAAATAAATCATTTATTTTCCAATTTTTAAACAGGTAAACAATATCTGTATAATCAAATTGTTTGTTCGTGAAGCCCATTTAGGACCTATCAAAATCGATATATTGAATCTGTAAAAAAAAAAAAATTGAGATCTCTGAATTCTTTGAATTCGTAATCATGGTAATAAAAAATATTTAAATTAGTTATTGGAGATTCAATTCATTATACCGTATCAAAAATGTGTAATTATTAATTAAAAAAGAATCGGTATTACGAATTAAATATGTATCCTTTGTTGCACTCACTCCATGTGTAATAAATGAACTAATTCGTTACAACTAATGTTGAAATTCGTGATTTAAAAGAGTAGAGAATTGATATTAAAGATTTTTTGATTCGTTATTTGGGGATTCTATAAATTAATAAATATTTGGATATTAATTTATACGATATCAATAAAGTCATTATTAATAATACTAATTACAGATTTCATTCATTATAACGTATTTTACAATCTGTAATGACATTGTACAAATACAAAAAATCCGTTACAGCAAGTTAAATCCGTATTTCCAAATTCATAATTATTTTGTTATTGATTTCAAATTAGGAATCGTAGTCTTTTAAGACTCGATTTACACTAATCCAATTCATAATGTAAAATACCATCTATTTCACGATACGTGGTCTATAAGGGCAAAGGGAAAGGTTTGTTTGCATGCTAAACTGGTTTCGTGTGTTATTCGTTATTGTTTGGATTTGTACGTCTATTTTTCGGGTGTTGGTGGTCAGTGTGGTACCATCAAATAAGTTTGGTAATCCTTATTTTATCCTTTATCATGTATCATAAAAAATTTAAGTATGTATTATGATAATATTAAATGACCATTTTCATATCAAATGTACATGTACTATAATCCATTAGTCATAACACCAGCACTAGAGCCGGTGACATTTTCCATATCAGCCCTCGTATCAATCATCGACCTATACCGAATCTCTGGCTACTAAAGTCCTCGGTCAGGATTAGGAGTCCTGGGATTATTTCAGGGTTCAATGGAAAAAGCCTTATCTATAACAATAAGATTTTTAACATTGAACATAATGCATAGAACATTAGTCAAAATTGAGGGCGATTGAAGTCAACAACTCACAATTTCAAAAGGCGACCATATTTATATTATAGCAAATTTTACCAAATTTATGAATAAGTATTTATTTTAATAAAAGAGTAACATGCAGCAACATTTTTTCGTCCCTAGTTAAATATCTGAAAATTCTTGACAATTGGCATTTTTGTATTTTTGTTACTTGACCTTTAAATTTTTGTTTATTGAGGATACGTACCACTGTCTAAATGTTCATATCCACGTGGTAATAGACTTCTGTCTATACGTGCTAAAGTAAGGATACCAATAGCACCACCTAGTAATATTCTTCGAATGCAGGTAAAAAATCCGATGATTACATGAAAGAAAAACATGAAGTACATCAAAACACTGAATAGCTTTCTACAAAAAAGAAAGAAACATATATGACACATAAGAATAAATAAAGGTAGGTATGATCTATTGTCCTCTGTAAATATTTTCGAATGAAATCTTAATTTATATATTTTATTAATATAACAAATGCTAGTATATATTTCATACGAAATTAAAGTATTCTGGTGTAATGCTTATCATATTTGATGGATTCTGATCCAAGATAGATATTTTGGTTGTATGCGAAACAGAACGCCAATTTTTCTATCCGATCACCAATATGATATAGCTATGTCATACAGTATGAAAACATGAATCAATTTGAATTAACTGGTCTTCTATTAAAAATATATCGTCAACATTAATTTTAATAAAAATTACACTATAATTAATGAACTAAATAAAGGCAACAGCAGAATACCGCTGCTCAATAGTCATAATTCAATTAAGCGAAAACAAATCCGGGTAACAAACTTATACCGAGGAAAACACATCAACTATAAGAAGAAAACAAGGGAACAACAGAAACACTGAGCTACAACAAAAGCAAACGCCAACATACATAGAAACAGACTATCTGATAACAACTGCCATATTCCTGACTTGGTACAGGACATTTTAAGAACAAATGGTGATTTTATGGCTAGCCAAACCTCCCGCTTAAATGGCAATATTAAAAATACCGCTCAAATGACAACACCACGTGACAGGAATACAGTACAAACAAACGCAAGAACACTCAGCACAGAGAAATACATAAATAAATAATATAAAAGTACATTACAACACGTAAACCGCAGAATAACAACGGACACCTTCCATGAATTTACGACAGCACACCAGGACACCACAAACGAAATATAAACTGCGCGTCACATGAATGGATCAACGTCACAAAAAGTGACGTATTTTTGTGACGTTTATATTATCACAGGCAAATTTCTAAAAATAAAATAGATTTGTTTTATTTATAGACACGTACAAGAATATTAAATTGGGAGTGAGTTTGTAATGGTGTTACTTTATGTATTTTCTAACAATGTCGTCTTTTCTTCTAAATCAAAACTGTGTATAAACAAAAAAATCCTGTGCATATAGTTGCTTTAAACTTAAAACCATGTAAATGAAATAGCCGATTTTTTATCTTAACTTTTACATACATTTAGAAAATAAAAAAAATATGACTGATATATAAGGCAAGATCATGTAAGACCAAACAGTAAACACACATAAAAACAAATAATATAAAACAAAAACACTGTAGATGAACCAAGAGTAACTCGACTATACTGACAAATAAGACATATGTGAAATGTACCGAAAATACAGAATTCAAACCACAAAGGAAATAAACAGACAACAACTCAGCACAAAATGACCCACCGGACCCACACGTATAAGAAAGTAACAACAAAATGCTCGAAAGCGGGATATATTAATACCGAACCACGTCGTCTCGAACAGCGAACATAAGACATAACAAAATATCTAAGCGGACTTACAAAAGAAACATCATAACTAAATACATGAATAAATACCGAAACACGTCGTATAGCAATGCGAATTCACACTCGGAAAAACAGTCATATTCGGGAATAGGTCACGTTCGATACTAAGCAGACCAGACAACGCAGATGGTAAACCACAATCTAAGACGTGGTAAAATTGTCGTTAGTTAGTTTAGACACAGACACATCGTATAGATCAACCAATTCGTGATGGTGTCCATAAGATTTACGGAGCGTCAATTTTAATCTTTCCTCCTCATAACTCTGTTGGCTTATCTAAAGATTTACCTTTAAGGTAGCACGGTAGTATTTGCATTCCAGTATTTAGGTTGCTCTTTTGTGTACCCTACCTAAGTCAATGTATCTGAACAGTGTGATTGGACAAAATATACCGTATCAACTGAACATACTTTCCCAAACTGAGGGATGAATCAGGTGTAGACAAATATGAAATAATTTTACATACAGATGAAAATGAATTTTTGAGATTTTTTAAAAATTTTGTAATCACTGCACGATAAAAGACATAAAAGCACTAGTGGCCTTAGATTTTTAAAAATAGCAAAAAAAGTAAACGGTCATGATACACATTCAAATTCATTTCTGAATAGTAAAATGAAAGTACATCAGTTAACTGTGAATGTAGAATTTTTTGCAGTGTTAGAAAGTAGTGAAAAGGCTATCATTATCCCTTATGGGCCAGGAAATACTACCGTGCCACCTTAAATGCATTTAAACGTTCGTAGCATTGCGGTACTGGTAACAGTATGTGTGGAGACTTACAAGCAGTGGTACCGTCCAAGTGGTAGTAATATGAATAATTAAATTCGATTTCAGTTTTACTAATGTTTATATGTATGAAATAATTGTTACACTTTCATTTCATGTACATATAGCATTATTTTGACATGTAGTGCTTTACAATTCACCAGTGATACTTGAATTGTTTAATTTTAAATACGGAAGAAACCACATGCATCTCGATAAGCATTTTGAAATAAGAGTTAAACTGCTTATCTTTTGACATAACAACTAATATAGATTCAGGATGACAACAGCTTATACAAAGAAATTTGAATAGATTGCAATTCCAAACTTTTGTTAATTTCCAAGAAGACTCTTCAGATTTTATTTTTTTCAAAGTAACTAGAAACTGTATAATTCTGAGGAACATCGGTATTGTATGAAGTATGATCTTGACTGTTAAAACTTTCTGATATGAAGGTACTAGTAATTTATTCTTGAATCACATTCTGATTTGTAACTATACAGAACTAATGAAAATGAAAAACAATATCCTGTTCAATAATGTTGAATGTTGCGTACCTGTTTTTCAGTGCAATAACACGTTGCAAGTCCTCAGATGTCTCTTTCATCACTGTATGGTTTTGTAAAAAGTACCGATTCACCAAGAAAGTCTGACACAGTTGAAATATATAATGAGCTGCAACAATCGGACTGAAAAAAATGAATATATTTTTCAATATTTCATAACAACTGACTGCATATTAGTAACAGTTCACAGCCAGAAAATTGAAAAGTAACCATTATGTTTCATGATGCATCTCGTCGGAAGAATGACAAACAAAACTGATGTATTGCGTGATATTGCTCACTAGACATATCCTCGCTCAGTGTGAATTTTACAGTTATATAAGTTTTCTACAAACAGTAGGAATAATAGCGAAGGAATTGAAATGTGTCAAACTAAATAAAACCATATTTAACTTTTTTCTATATGATAAGAAGATTTATAGTTGCTTAGAAAAAAATGCGACATATAGGTGTAACGGATGGACCCTTTTGTCATATTGCTCTTCATGTGTTTCTGTACTTTTACATCCTTAGCTTTCAAATATTTGGCATTGAGCGTTCCTTATGGTCCAAGGACACAGTTATCGTCCTTTGTCTACGAATATAGTCCCTAGTGAGAACAGTGTATAACTTGCATTTTTTTGTAATACACTTTCTCAATTTATTTCTTGATGTTTTATGCATGAAATATTAAGTAAGGGGATGAAATTACATGTTAAAAAAATTTGGGTGCTGAATCTTTATGTTAAGTAGTGATTTGGTACAGTTAAAAAAGGTCAAAAATTAGAATGTCTGAAGCTGTCAAACTGAATTTTAGCCCCCCTTAACACAGAATTGTCAATATTTTGAGTTAGAGCTGGTAGAAGTTTCTATAATTTTGATATTATTTGTATCAATAGTAGTACACTACACTGTAAAAATCTTTTTGAGATAGAGCAGGTGCGATTTTTTTAATTTGAATTTATTGTCTAAAAGAAATGCACTACGAAATAACTGTGTTCTCGGGCCTTCTGAAGTTAAATCCAGAAAAGCGCTTCGGATGCATAAAATTTATAGAATGTTTTTTTTATTTTTTCTAGCTGTAATATAACACCATATAATTTTTATGGGTTCGAAGCACCTTTCTAGATTAACCTTCATCAGGTACGCACAAATTAATTTTTTTTTTAAAGCCAAGGATGTTTAAGTACCGAAACACATAAACAGCTTTATGATCAAAAATGGGACTTAACAATAACAGCAAAATTAATCTAAGGTCAACTTTGACCTGTAAACCTCATATTCCAAAAAGAAGTTTCTTTGCATTATCAAACCGAGATTGTTTAAGTTTTCCCATTATTTTAGTCTACTCGTAATCACGGTGAGCTTGACCGTTGATCTAATGAACTAAAAATCAAAATGGATCTTCTTCATCCCGTGTGATATAATCTAACAAAGTTAGCAAAATGTTTGATTTATGGGTAAAAAACTATAATCTTGAAACAAAATTTTGCAAAAATTTCAGTCTACCAATAGCTATTGGATGACCTTTTCATTTGCAAGGAATCACTTACCCTTCCGGAGCGACTAAGATCACCCCAGTTTTTTGTGTGGTTCGTGTTTCTCTCTCTTTAGTTTTCTTTGTAGTGTTTTGTAAACTTGTTTGCCATTTCATTGTTGTTCGTTTTTTTGCCTCGGCGTGGTCAGTTACTCTCGAATTACGAGTTTTAAATGATCCATGGTATCTTCCGACTCTTTTTGACATACTAACCACAAAGGTGTTCTTCCAATGAAACATTATTAAACAAGTTTGATAAAAGTTGGACATTTGGTTAGGAAGGTATTACCCTGAAACCAATCATTACCCTAATTTCAGTATACCTATAGCTACTATATCATTGCCTTTGACATAGTTACCCACAAATCTAAAATGACTTCTTCCTCCAATGATCCAATAACAGTCTAAGTTTATTAAGGTTGGACGTATTGTTCAATAGATTCCACCCAAAAACGAAATTGCACAACTGCTGTAACCTGAACTTTTGACTTAAGAATCCCGAAATCAAATAGGATCTTCTTCATCATTGTGGCGTATTGTTCAATAGATTCCACCCAAAAACGAAATTGCACAACTGCTGTAACCTGAACTTTTGACTTAAGAATCCCGAAATCAAATAGGATCTTCTTCATCATTGTGGCATTACCAAAAGATACTGTGTAGGGTTATGGTTTTAAAGATTTATTCTGAAAACCGATAGTAGAATTTCGAAGAATCTGAAAACGTGTCACACCATATGGCATAAACAGATGAAGCTTGGCGTCATATATCAAAAATGACTATGACTATGACTTGTAGTTGCTGAAAAAAATGTAAATGAAATATGTGTAATGGTGGACAGAAAAGAAGTAAACCAGAATACCGTCTCCTTTTCGGCTTTAGTTTTCCTATACTAACTTTCGTTCTTATGCTAGAACAAGAAATATGTGTGTATATCATGAAAGTAACTGTAAACCTTTCACCAGGTGAAGCTTAGGGTCATATAACGAAAAGTCAAGGTAGGTAGAAAAATGCGAAACAAATGTAAATACAGATGGACGGAGGGGAATAAACCAGTAAGACAAATAAGATATGGTTAGACCAGAAGAAGGTCGATGCTATATGTTAAGAAGTTATGACTTATGATTTCTGAGAAAATGCGACAAAAATGTATAATTAGAAGACAGAGATAAAAAAAGTATTAACCTTCCTTTCGATTGGGGTATCATAACACGGCTGTAATTTTTGTTTCTTATACAAACACATGTTAAATAACTATCTGTGTTTTTGGTAAACAGGAATGTGAACATAAATTAATGCGACAGAAATGAGTAATGGGAGGACAGACTTCCAGACGTATATCTCCTCCTTTGTGGCGGGGTTATAATGGAACGAGTTTAACTTTCCTGCACTGAACTGTCTTTCTAATGAACGAATATAAAAAAAGAACCGAAAGACAATTCAATAAACTATCGGCTTTACGGACTCCGATTAGAAGCTGAAAGCTGAATACCGTCAAATTGTTTTTCTTCGTATTTATTTAAAATTATGTTGGAATGGTGTAGATTGTCTTTTTAGTATCGTCTAACTTTTTTACGTCCTTTTGTTTCATAAGATTTTTTGACATTTTGACATTTGATTTAGGCAACCGTAGTTTACCGAAGTTCAAATCTTAGTAATCCATTAGGAAGACAAATCAAGGTAATTAACAAGCACTAGCATAATCTCCAAAAGGAGCGAGACAGGCAGGGTTAGGGTCTCCTGCTATGTATGCATGTTAACTTCTATGTCATTTGGTCTCTAGTGGAGAGTTGTCTCATTGTCAATTATACCACATCTTCTTATTTTATATCTCCTGCATGGAGAATCCACACACACATTTTATTTGCAAACTTTAGAAAAATACTAAATACTGATATATTTGTTAGTTAACTTTTGAACGCATAATATTGGTCGAAATTGTCCAAGATTTTTTCCTTCGAAAAGGTAAAAAAACACATCTTTATATTGTCGTGCTACGTGTAAAATGTACATGTGCTTACTCATGACATCGGTAAAGGTAACACGACTGTAGAGTCATTATTGATAAACAGATAACAATGGTTTTGAGGGTCTTGATATATGTCTATACTCGTCCTTCTATCTTTAATCTCCAACTAAAACAACTAATTTCTTACATTGAGCATTTATCGACCAATCATATATAAAGCTTCATATTGTAAAAAAACGCACATTGAAATATTAAACTTTATGTAACAGTTAGTGTTCAGGCTAGATTATTTTTTCATATTCTACTTACAATATAGCTTTCACACCAATTAATAATTGATCTGAAACTTTATCCATTAATGGAAGAATAAGGAGATATGCCAGTATGTAACACAACAGCAGTATGACAACAAATAATATTACATAGCCTAGAAGAATAAAAAAATGTTAAAACTGATTGAAAGATTTTAAACTTCCAGAAGTCGTATACAAATATAGTCTTTTTGCTTATTTTTGACGATTTTTACTTCAAAATAACTGTGTCGTAAGTAGTATAAAATGTTTCATTTGAAAAGGTTTGGATATGATCTAATGACGTCACAGCCTTACTAGCTTGTCAACGTTTGCGTTCCAAATGGATACTAATAAATGTGAATTCAAATATTGATTTGGATGAAACCTCAAGACTGATTATTTTTTTTTGCATAACTTTATCGTATCGCATGTCACCGTATGGAAATAAATGCTATTCAAATCCAATCTTTTAATCATTGTTTGATTTATGAGACACTGTATAGTTACCAAAAAGTGACAATAGAGTACTACAGTATTAATTTCTGTTTAGTAGTTAAGCATGTTACAGTACAGATATGTAAAGAGTTAATGTATAAATAAAATACATGATTCAGACGGGACAAGTGTGAAGTTTGAATTCAAGTTTAAAAAATTATGAATAATGAAAATCGAAGAAATTGTCGTCAAGAAATTATCTTTTTCTCGGTGTATATTTTTTTTAAAGAACATGTCCCTGATTATGGGAGTGATGATCGCTGAAATTCATGTTTAAACTCGCCATATTCTTCATGTGTCTGTCCTAAATCAGGAGCCTGGAATTCAGTAGTTGTCGTTGGTTGCTGCAATATTTGTTTTTCGTTTTTTGTTTCTAGCATAAATAAGGCCGTTTGTTTTCTGTTTTAAATTTTTTCTGATGTTGTCGTGCAGTATGTTTGAGGATTCGTTATTCTACGCTGTACAGTAAACATCTTACTTTTGTTTTACTCTGCTTAGTTATGATGCAGCTTGTTTTTTTGGTGCTTTTATAAGATTTACCAACATAGTATAGCAGATTTTCTTTTAAAATAACTAATACAAACTGAGGAAAAAATGGAAAATACTCACACCAAAACATATATGCTATTTGAGTTCCTGAATATCGAAGACTTGACGCCTGTTCAAAAGATACTGCATAATTTATATGAACTACTAAGGTAATATAAAATGAAGACTTCGTGTTAGTTAATGATAATATGATTATATCACATTTTTTATATCATCTTACAATCAGCTGGTATAAGTGGATATTTATGGTCAAATCATTTTGATAGTGTATCATCCTCAACCTGCTCTGCGAAATTCGGTTTATGATCGATACCAGAATGTTTTCAGAATTGTTCTCGTCTTTGCAAGTGGTAATTGAAAATAGTACTTTATCATTATAAAGCGTCAGAATGGCTTTTCTGGATTTACAGAAACTCTCAAGCCCAATAATTTGAAAGCCAATAATGAATAAGTTAATAAGGTTTACACGATCTATTGGTTTGTGATAGTTTGTGTTTCACGTGTTGTTTCTCAATGCGCTTGACATTAAGGACAACATAGATATCATAAACTGAAAACTGCTGTATGATCTCTATAGAAAGCATGTTGAATTTTCTCCCTATTCAGAAGCAATATTCATACATTTCCAAAAGCAAGAAATCGCTATCTTTATCATAAAAAAATCTTATAAAACTTAATGCGGTGGCGTAAAGCAAACACCAATCAATCAATAAATATAAAACTTAATAGTCATAAATAATTCAGTTTAGTTACTTTACAGAAAAAAAATTGAATAACAAAAATACCGAACTTCAAGGAAAATTCAAAACGGAAAGTCCCTTATCAAATGGCAACATCAAAAGATCAAACACATCAAACGAATGGAACACAACTGTCATATTCCTGACTTGGTACAGGCATTTCCTTATGTAGAAAATGGTGGATTGAACCTGGTTTTGTAGCTAGTTAAACCTCTCACTAGTATGACAGTCGCATAGAATTCCATAATATTGACAATAATGAGTGAGCAAAAAAAAAAAAAAATGGACATAATAGGTAAAAATGTAAACAATCGGGGTATAGCAGTCAACATTGTGTTATAATCTTAATAAAACTGAGAATGAAAACGGTGAATGTGTCAAAGAGACAACAACCCGACCAAAGAGCAGAAAACAGCCGAAGGCCACCAATGGGTCTTCATCACAGCGAGAAAATCCCGCACCCGAAGGCGGGCTTCAGCTGGCCCCTTTAAAAAAATGTATACTTGTTCAACAAAAATAGACGTCACACTAAACTCTGAAACATATAAATGAACCAAAATAAAAAACATACAAGACTAACAAAGGCCAGAGGTTCCTGACTTGGGACAGGCGCAAACATACGGCGGGGTTAAACATGTTTTGTGAGATCTCAACCCTCCCCCTTTACCTCTAGCCAATGTGATATAAAAAAGCACACAGCAATGCGCACAGTAAAACTCAGTTTAAAAGAAGTCCTAATCCGATGTTAGATAAGGTAACAGAAGAAACTTGAAAATGACAATGATGAACATAAGTTAACAAAGGACTACTAGCAGTTACTGACATGCCAGCTCCAGACCTCAATTAAACTGTTTGAAATATAATGTCATCATCGTATGAAAATCAAGCACAATCCCTCCTATACGGGGTTTAGTATCATACCATCACAAAATATACTAGCAGAACATAACCCGTATCATGCCAATAACTGGTTTTAGAATAAATGTGTTTATTTCCGACTCAAAGACCCTATAAGTGAATCAATATTAATTCCAAAAAATGCCATCTTTAATGACTTGACAACAGTATCGTAACTATATCCATTCTGAATAAGTCTGTTTAAAGGTTTGGTTAGCTTTTGAGGAGAATGACGACATTTTTGTGCTTTGTATAGAATATTACCATAAAAGATGGGATGTGAAATACCTGACCGTATAAGATTTCTGCACGTTGATTTATATGATGTCCTTTCACCGATGATGAAATTTAGTAGTGTTTTGACAAGTTTGTGATATGGAAAAACCCTGGTGTAATAATTTTTCAGTAGTACAGAGATTTCTTTCTTTAAAATCAAATACATTGTTACATACACGAGTAAATCGAACAAGTTGGGATATATAAACACCATAAGATGATGCCAATGGAACGTCACCATCTAAAGATGGATAATTAACAATAGGAAACTTAAAATCATCTGTTTTATCGTAAATTTTAGTATTAATCTGTCCGTTAAAAATTTAGGAAATGACAGTGTTTATTGTTAGTATTAGCTTTATTTAAAGTCAGTTCAGCAGGATAAATCTCTTTAGTGTACATACTGAAGTCGTCATTATTGAGAGCCAATATATCATCGAAATATCTAAAAGTGTTATTAAATGTTTGTATCAGATATTGTTTCGATGGGTCTTTGCTGATTTTAGTCATAAATTGTAACTCGTAACGATACAGAAAATGGTCCGCAATCAGAGTAGCACAGTTAGTTTCCACAGGAATTCCGATAAAATGACGATATACGGAATCTCCATAGCGAACAAAAATATTATCTAGTAAAAATTCAAGTGCAGTCATTGTATCAAAGCAGGTCCAATTAGGTTAATCACCATAAATCAAACAACTATGATAGTGTTATCACATTGAGCTTTAAGATGTATTCGTTAGACTGTTGATTTTTTGGTTTCTTTGTCGATTCGTCTTTTTGTCGTGACCTTATCTACCAGTCTTCTTTTTTATTGCCCCGCCACTTAGGACTCGGGCCATATAGTTTTACCCTTGTCCGTCATTCTGTCATTCCATCATTCCGCAACGAACAATAATACGGACTTTTTTTTTCTAAATGCCTTCACATAATGAGCTGATTTTTAGTATGTGAATCTACTATGATGAATTACAGATCGAGTTTACGTTTGGTTGGGTCCGTTACGACGATTTTTGCCGAAAAAAAACGGGCTTTGGACTTTGAACAATTCGTTAAAATAACAGTTATACGGCCTTTTTTCTAAACGCCTGGACATATTGAGCTGATTTTTAGTATGTGAGCCAACTATGATGAGTTACAGATCGAGTGTACGTTTGGATCTGCTACGCTGATTTTTGTCAAAACAAACGGGCCTTGGACTTTGAAAAATTCGTGAAAATAACAGTTATACGGCCTTTTTTTTCTAAACGCATGGACATATTGAGCTGAGTTTTAGTATGTGAGTCAACTATGATGAGTTACAGATCGAGTTTACGTTTGGTTCCGCTCCGCTGAATTTTACCGGAGTATTTTTTCCAACCATGTTGATTTTAGTTAAAATTATCAACTTTTCAATCTTTTTTGGCGAGCGGGGCAATTCGTGTCGTTCCTTTCTGTCTTATCAGTATCTTCTGTTTTATCTTATATATGAAATAATTTCCCATCAAACTATTGTTTCTGAATTCAGCTTCTTTCAGGCTAAATGAACAATGTTCATCGTTCTTGTTGGGCATTTAAGCTTTATGGTAAACATTTTAAAATGTGTCATTCTAGGACTAAATATTTAGCAGTTGGCGTATATGAGGAAGTTGAATTTAGAAAAGAGTTTTGACGCGGAGAATAAGGAATTTGTGACTAAACATGTTTAAATGATCAATATTTATTTACCTATGACGATCTATGACTTCGCATGGTGTTAATATATCCAAATTAATTACGTTACGCTCGTGTTGTTCACACCAGTCGGACATCATTAACATGGTTGTGTTCCTTTCATAAAAACCGTCTAAAAGTGTTAAGTGGCTGAACGACTGAAATTGACACTACATAAGTGTTACTGTCGCCAACACGAATTGGTTGACCGATACGCTATGTCTATGTGTCTCAACTCACTACCGATATAATTTCACGGTCATAGATTTTTAGATATACCTATCGGTAACTAATCTGCAAAAACAAACGAGTGTTTCCTGAATTTGGCATGTTGACCTAACGTAGATTCGTCTATGGGCGATGTATGCATTGCAGTTCGGTATTTTTGTTATTTTACTTTTTGCTTGTCGCACGCGCTCACGCTCCTTTTAAAGTTCATGCAATTCCCCCGGTTTTGTTTGCAAACTTGATTTGTATCTCTTAATGGACTTATTAGATTTAAATATAGGTTAAAAATGTATTAACAAAAATACCGAACTCCAAGTAAATTAAAAAAGGAGAGATCAATAAAATCAGACAAAATCAAACGCTCGACTATATTAACCAACGGAACGACTGGAAAACAACTCTCATATTACAGACTCGGTGTAGGTTTATTTAGAAGAAATTTGTGTGTTAAACGTGGTTTTATAGTTTTAAATAATTTAGAAAGAGGCTTGAGTGGAGCACTAGGAAGACCCAGCAATATAACGTGTTTGTAAGGACACTTGTGAATATACACCTTCCCGATAAATAACGAGTTAAGTAAAATAAAAATACATGGGTATACACATTGAAAGAAACTTTGTGCGTCCGAATCGCACCTCTGCACCCACCCGCATCAGGAACGCCCCAAGCCAGAATTCAGAAAACTGGATGCACACAAATCGAGCCACTCTATAGTCTTACATTTAAAGGAACATAATAGTACATAGACAAATAAAAGAAAAAACTGTCAATTAAATAATATGATACACAACGTCAAAACCTAGAATCTATAAATAATAGCATCCTGCATTATTTGTGAAGTTGACACTGAATATTTATCTATAAGGTGTTGGTACTTTCCGTCAACTTTTTGAGAAAAAGGACGCTACAGTCTTGGACAAAATCATGGATCATGTTGTTTTTGTTTGTTTACATTGATGTTTACAAAGTATGAGGAGCAGAGTTGAGAAATATGTACTCCATATACGGGTGAAGTTGGTAAATTGCTGCTAAGGTGAGGAAAGATCATAATTTCAAAATTGAAATCATCTCGTTTGTCATAGACTCTGGTTAATGGGATGACCACTTGAGTCTAGTCGAGGAAAATGTCTAAAATGATTCGGATGGAGCTGTGCCTGTGGATTCTTGAAGCTCCTGTTCAGGGGATATATTAATTGGACCCAATCAGAAAAGTTATGAAAAAGTCGACAAAGAGAGGCGCACAGTTGGTTCCCTGCTTAAAAGTTCTACCTCAAAATTCAAAACAAATATGTTGTCAATAAGAATCTCTAGCATACCGATCACTTGTTCTTCAGTGTAGCATGTCTTATCATCAGGTTCATTTGTAACAAAATCTGCCGAGTTGTATCCCTAAACAATAAATTTGTAGTGTATGGTACCCTTTTTATGAAGAAAAGCATTGTGGATTATTCTTTTTGACGGGTTTTTGCATGTGGTATGTTGGTGTAAAGGGTGAATATATTTAAGGTTTTGGTATTATTAATTTCAGAGAAGGACCGAGATTTTAAAATTTACAGAAGTTTTTTGGAGTTTTTAAGAATCCACATATGGTTAATGCCACTACGCGAGTCAACAGTATCACAGTATTTCTGTAATCTGTCCTTCACTGCGGAAACAAATTCGGTCAATCTAACAGACTATCTCAACCATATACAAAAGTTATGTTTTGTAAGTGGGATTACCCCAGTTTTCATTCATTCCTTATTCTTTGATAAACATTCGTAGTAATATGATTTACAGAAAAAAAACAATATTCTTTGAAGATTGAAACTACTATTGACTCAAATTTAACTATTATTTGCAGCTCTGTCAACAAATGACAAACAAATATGAATTCACAAAATGTTTATGTTACTCACTATAAAATCCTTATTATCAGTTCTTTTGACTTTCTTTGGCAAAAAGCTGAAATCTCCAGAATACATCCTCCTCAAATCCCTCTGATAGCTTCTATATATTAGTATAATATACAGCGCCATTATAAAGGTTGAAGTGGCAAATGATGTGTAAAAACTCACTGAAAAACCAAACGAATTCACTATAGGTAAACTAGTGCTTTTTCGGTTAATTTTCCAAAATTATTAATGTTATGACGTTATCAACATAAAATAAGTTAGTAATATATTATCTTTTTGTCATTTGGGGAATTTGATGGTACCTTATAAATATAAACACTTGCTTTTTTATTGTTTGCTTGTTTTTTTGCTTTTTATGTGTTAGTTTTTTGCTTTTCTGTGTGTTTGTTTTTGCTTTTTTCGTTTAGCTTAATTTGATTTGTTTATTTCTTGCTTTTGCTTTGCTTAAATTTGACTTAATTTGATTTGTTTATTTCTTGCTTTTGCTTTGCTTAAATTTGACTTATTTTGATTAATTTTGTGTTTGCCTTTTGCATGTTTGGTGTCAGTTTGACAATTGTTTTAATTGTTTGAAAATTGGACAAAGTTCTAATTTTATATTGTTTTCTATGATTGGTACCAACGATGCAAGATTTACTTATGCACACACGGAATGATGCACACAAATTTCTCTTAAAAACCTGATTTATTTATCCAATGAGTAGATTATTGAACAGTTCAAAAGGACAGATACATAAACATTTACATTGTTTATTAAGTCATGACTCAGGTTTTGAATAGGACACACTTCCAAAAATTGCTGTATTTCAAATCTTTAAAATACATTGTTCATGGAAGACGGGTAGTATTTTTTTTTAGATATTTTTTTCTATTGCTATCAGTTATAAATTCTAAATCTAGGATTAAGCATACAAGATAACACATTAGAGGCTGCTAATGAAATACCATTCTTTTGTTTTTAAAAGCAAATTAGCTAAGTAATATATCAAAAATATATCAAAAAGAAAACCAAACTTAAAAACACATGAACAATACTAAAAAAACCAAACAAACCCAGCAACATCAGAAGAACTGAAAACAAAACCTGAAAGGAACAAATTAATTGAAAGACAAGAATTATAGATCATAGAGCGTATATAATGTTCACGAAATGTTCTTCATTTTATAATAATTAATGAAAATAAAAATACATGGGTATACACATTGAAAGAAACAACATAAAAACTTTATGCTTCCGACTTGCACATCTGCACCCACCCGCATCAGGAACGCTCCAAGCCAGAATTCAGAAAACTGGATGGACAAAAATCGTGCCGCGTCAATAGTTTTACTTTCAAAAGGAACATAATAGTACATAGACAAATAAAGGAAAAAAACTGTAAATTAAATAATATGATACACAATGTCAAAACATAGAATCTATAACTCAGTAGCATCCTGCATTATTTGTGAAGTTGACACTGAATATTTATCTATAAGGTGTTGGTTCTACCCGTCAACTTTTTGAGAAAAAGGACGAGACATTCTTTGAAAAAATCGTGGATCATAATTGTTTGCTCAGACATTGATGTTTACCAAGTCTGCGGAGCAGAGTTGACAAATAAAATTGAGAAATGTATACTCCATATACGGGTGAAGTTGGTATATTGCTGCTAAGGTGAAGAAAGATCATAATTTCTAAATTGAAATCGCCTCGTTTGTCATAGACTCTGGTCCTGGGATGACCACTTGAGTCTAGTCGAGGTATATGTCTAAAATGAGAAAATAAACCTTTTTATGATAATATAAAATACGGCAAGAAATCTGTAATGAAACAGGGTTTATTTTTTGGTGTTTTCATAAATGTAGTCATATTTACAGATATTTCATTTAATTTATGTTCATAGTGAAGTTTATCATTTAATACCAACCATGATAAGAAATATACAATGACATTTTGATAGTGAACCATAAAATGAAAATAACGTTCAACTTTATCAAAATCAAAGATGATTCAAGGCTTTAACACATTATAACTTTTACCAATCAAAGAGAAATCACTCAAAAATTATTCATTGCATTTGGTGCAAATTACAAATATTTGGAAAAAGATACTGTATTTAAACTGTTAACAATTGAAATTATAAAGATTAATGTGAGATATTTTAATTACATCTAACCCTCTTGTTTTATTAATTTTGCATTTATATTGTGTCATAGATCAAATTTTTTCGTTCAGTGTATGTTCACTTGTTTTTGTTAATATGTCTTTTGATCAATTGATATTTTATAGTGTGTCTTTCTATGTTGTGATGTTACACTATTGTTTCAGGTAGGGTGAAGGTTGGCGCCTATTAAAACGTTTAAACCCGCTGCATTTGTTTGCACCTATCCTAAGTCAGAAACCTGATGTTCAGTGGTTGTCGTTTGTTGATGTGGTTCATAAGTGTTTCTCGTTTCTCGTTTTTTATATAGATTAGACCGTTGGTTTTTCCTGTTTGAATGGTTTTACACTAGTCATTTTTAGGGTCCTTTATAGCTTGCTGTTCGGTGTGAGCCAATGCTCCGTGTTTAAGGCCGTACTTTGAACTATAATGGTTTACTTTTACAAATTGTGACTTGGATGGATAGTTGTCTCATTGGCACTCATACCACATCTTCTTATATCTATATGCTGAGTGCAGCTTATTTACTCATAAATCAATTTATATCTTATTCAGATTGTCTAGATTTTTTAGATTATCTTAAAACCAAAAAATGTCTTCAAGATACACACTTTTCTGAGAAAGACAAGCAATCTATCAAGAATCAATGTGTTGGAGAATATGTCTTTAGTTCCTCTTCTTCAAACGAAAGAGGAGTGGTCATGTTATTTAATAATAACTTTGAATATAAAATTTTACAAAGTGAAAAGGATCAAATATTAACTTCTTAAGATTGAATATTAAAATTGAAGATAATAATTTTACTTTAATTACATTATATGGTCCAAATAGTGATACCCTGAATTTTATGACAAAGTTGGTGAAGTAATTGAGGAATTAAATAATCAGACTGTCATTGTAATAGGAGATTATAATCTAGACTTGGATACTATTGATTACCGAAACATTATAATTCAAAAGCCAAAGAACAAGTCTAGATATATAGTAAATTTACAATTTAATTGATCCCTTTAGCGAATAATATCTAGAAAGTATAAGGTATACTTGGAGGAAACCAACCCTTATAAAACAGGCCAGACTAGATTTCTTTAAAGTTTCACAGAGCTTTTACCAAAATATACATGACATAAAGATACAAAAAGGTTATAGATAAGATACTCACGTTTTATTTTACAACTAAAACTAAATTGTCGGGAGGGGTTAATGGAATTTTATCGATTCCCTTTTGTATGTTTCAGAATATGTTTATATTGTTAAAGAGGTTATAGGTAAAACTGAAGAGCAATATGCGTCTCATGTATAAAACAGAGAAAACCTAGCTTTAGTAGATTCTAGTGATATCGAGTTCATAATTAGTGATCATTTATTTTTAGAAGCATTACTGACTGAAATAAGTGGGAAACAATATCATATGCTTTATGTAAAAAGAAAGAAACTAATATATTAGAACATTTACTAGCTGAAGATAAAATCAAATTAGAGAAAATATCACAAACAGAAAAACAGATCTAAAAATTCTTAGACAAAATAAATTGAGGGGTCAGTATATAAGGCCAAAGACACAACGGGTAGAAGAAGGGGAGAAACCGAAACATTTTTGTAAATAAAACAATTCCTAATTTAGTTGATTTGAATCAGGAAATATAATTGAAAATAAAAAACAATACAAAAATCTATATTCCAACAAAGAGACAATAAATTCTATTAATTTAGATAATGATATACCCAATAATAATATACTCAAACCATCAGAAAGTATGAGAGTCTATAGAAGGAGAAATAACATTTTTAGAGTTGACTGATGCAATTAAAAGAAAGAAAATGAGAAAAGCCCTGGATCTGATGGATACATAAATGAATTTAAATTTTTTTTTGGGATGAATATCGGGAAATTTGTTCATAGATCAATAAAATAATATATATATCTATAATCAAGGTGAAATATCTATTACACAAAACAAGATATTTTTACTTGCACCATAAAGGTGACCAACGCAATACATGAAAATTTGGCGTCCAATCAGTCTTTTATACACTGTTCATTAATAAGCATCAAGTTGCAATGCAGATATATCAATTATAATCATTAATGACTAGACCGAATTTAAACATGGTATATTTATTGGTGAGAATACCTGAATGATATATGATTTACTCCACTAGACTGAAGAAAATAATATCCAAGGATTCTCTTTCTCGTTGATTTTGAAAAAAAGCTTTTAATTCCATCTCCTGGATTTTCATATAAAAACTTCTTGATTATTTCAACTTTGGAAATTCCATAAAACACTGTATCAAAGCTTTCTATACAAATACCATATCAGCGGTAACACAGAATAATTATCTTTCAGCTGATTTTTTTTACAATCCAGAGAGGTTCCAGCTAAGGAGATTTTGTTATGTGCTGGAATTTTAGGAATACTACCGAAAAAAAAAACGAAAAAGGTATTACCATTGAAGACTCAGAATTTTTGATGTCACAATAGCTGATGATACCTCACTAATTTTTAGGTGGTTTACCAGAATCTTAATATGCATCTCTTTGTATTTTAGAATTACTTAATGGTCTGATCTCATGATGAATTTAGAAAAAAACCCAAACGTAAATCAAATTGGAAAAAAGAAGAAATATAGCCGAGATACAATGTGTTTAAAGTGGGGTAAGTTTGATTTCAGTTCTTCATTGGTCAATATTCAATTGTGACATTTTATCTGAATGGCTATAGCGACGTCACAAATTAGATGACAAGGACTGATGGCGTCACATAAAACGAACATTTTTGAAGTTCATAAAAAGAAAGATAAACCTAACTCCTTAATTCAACAAAAAAGTCACCATTTGTGAACAGAGCAATATAAATGAAGACACAAATGAATACCTCAAACCTCTTTCTTTTTTCTGCCCAAAATACAGAGTGTCAACAATCCAGATAGACCAATAGTTTCCTCCAATGAACACCATACAGAGAAAATATCAGAATTTATTGACCTCATTTAAGACCAGACGTAGAAAATATACCATCCAACACACGAGATACAACTCATTATCTTAAGAAAAATTGAATCATTGAACCCTCTCCATCGCGGTCACCTTTAAAAATCGGGGTTACAGATAAAAGTATTGATAAATGTTTCTCTCGTGCTAACACCATCAGCCGAGATAAAGTTTTACAATTTAAAGAGAAAAAATGTCAACAAAAAAGTTCCGTTTGGGCTGAATTATAATCCTAAATTTGAAAAATTATCACACCTTATCCTTGGAAATTAGAAAAAAATCGAAAAACAAATTAAACTATGGTCAAAGATCTTCCCCGACTCATCCGTACTGGCTTTTAGTAGGCCCAAAAGTTTTAAATACTTGCTGGTGAGAGCTGATTAATCCTCTTCGTCAGCAAGCACATGCAAGGTTTGTGGGAACAAAGGATGACTAACTTGCAAGGAAATACTGCATACCCAGAATTTTAAATGTCACTCCACTGGTACGCAATACCCCATATTTTGCAACGTTACTTGCAAGGCTACATATACTGTGTATATTCTATAGTGTAAAGTGGCAAAAATTATGTTGGTTAGTCAGAACAGCCATTTCATGAACGTTTGAACGGCCATTGTAATGACTATGAATGTAAGCCAAATCTTCCTCGCAGTCGACATTTGAGTTCCCCTAACCAAATTAAGGCAGCTCTCAATCGATTGATTATTACCATCATTGACAACGGCCAATAGTTTATTTACAACCACTGGGTCGATGCCACTGCTGGTGCAGTTTTAATTCCCCGAGGGTATCACCAGTCCAGTAGTCAGCACTTCTGTGCTGACATGAATTATCATTGATATGGTCATATTTATAATTTAACTGTTTACAAAACTTTTGAAATTTTGAAGTACTAAGGCTTTTCTACCTCAGGAATAGATTACCTTAGCTGTATTTGGCAAAACTTTTAGGAATTTTGGTCCTCAATGCTCTTCAACTTCGTGCTTTATTTGGGTTTTTAAACTTGTTTGGATGAGTCTTTTGTAGACGAAACGCGCGTCTGGCGTAAATACAAAATTTAATCCTGGTATCTATGATGAGTTTATTTACAACCACTGGGTCGATGCCACTGCTGGTGGAGTTTTAATTCCCCGAGGGTATCATCAGTCCAGTAGTCAGCACTTCTGTGCTGACATGAATTATCATTGATATGGTCATATTTATAAATTAACTGTTTACAAAACTTTTGAAATTTTGAAGTACTAAGGCTTTTCTACCTCAGGAATAGATTACCTTAGCTGTATTTGGCAAAACTTTTACGAATTTTTGTCCTCAATGCTCTTCAACTTCGTGCTTTATTTGGCTTTTTTAACTTGTTTGGATTCGAGCGTCACTGATGAGTCTTTTGTAGACGAAACGCGCGTCTGGCGTAAATACAAAATTTAATCCTGGTATCTATGATGAGTTTATTTACAACCACTGGGTCGATGCCACTACTGGTGGAGTTTTAATTCCCCGAGGGTATCACCAGCCCAGTAGTCAGCACTTCTGTGCTGACATGAATTATCATTGATATGGTCATATTTATAAATTAACTGTTTACAAAACTTTTGAAAATTTGAAGTACTAAGGCTTTTCTACCTCAGGAATAGATTACCTTAGCTGTATTTGGCAAAACTTTTAGGAATTTTGGTCCTCAATGATCTTCAACTTCGTGCTTTATTTGGCTTTTTTAACTTGTTTGGATTCGAGCGTCACTGATGAGGCTTTTGTAGACGAAACGCGCGTCTGGCGTAAATACAAAATTTAATCCTGGTATCTATGATGAGTTTATTTACAACCACTGGGTCGATGCCACTGCTGGTGGAGTTTTAAGTCCCCGAGGGTATCACCAGCCCAGTAGTCAGCATTTCTGTGCTGACATGAATTATCATTGATATGGTCATATTTATAAATTAACTGTTTACAAAACTTTTGAAATTTTGAAGTACTAAGGCTTTTCTACCTCAGGATAGATTACCTTAGCTGTATTTGGCAAAACTTTTAGGAATTTTAATCCTCAATGCTCTTCAACTTCGTGCTTTATTTGGGGTTTTTAACTTGTTTGAATTCGAGCGTCACTGATGAGTCTTTTGTAGACGAAACGCGCGTATGGCGTAAATACAAAATTTAATCCTGGTATCTATGATGAGTTTATTGGGAAGATAAAAATCACTCGGGAACGATTTTGGATAAGAAAATTATAAAAGTTAGCACCAAATGCAATCAATGAAAAGGTGTTGTTCAAATTACGCAGTGCTAATCACCGCAGCTGGATGTGTTAGTTTCGTTTAGGAGGCTTCTGTTGTAAATATTAAATTGAGTGAACTTTTGAGATTTTAGATTTATACAAGTGGGATTCGGGTTTTAATTCTTATAACGTTCAAAATTGTTTCAGGAAAAATAAGAAAAGATTAATAAGATTCATTTTACATCCTACTGATGAAGGATATCTATTATCCAAGATATTTATTGACACATGTATTTACTGTTTCCCTTTTTTATGTTTGTGTTGTTTAAAATTTATATATAATTTACTAATTATGTACAGTATCGTTTTTCATAACGGTCCAACGACCTCGTATGAAAGATCGTTGACTAATATATGCAAAAATGTATATATATATTTAAACAATTGCGTATAAATCAGATTGAGAAAGGTAACTTTACTTTTAAACTAAAACTATTTCGGTCAATTATTATTATGTGTAATTTCCTATTTACTAAAAACTCATCAAAGATACCAGGCCTATAATATGTTACACCAGACACGTGTTTCATCTACATAAAACACATCAGTGGTGCTCGAATTAAAACATTTAGAAGGCCAAATAAAAAAAACGTTGAAGAGCATTTAAAGCCGAAAATTCCTAAATGTTGTACGGCCAAGGCAATCTGTTCTTACAGTTCTCAAGAAACGCAAATTAATGCATTCCCTGACACCTGCTACTGTGACATTGGAATCGTAAGACAAGTGATACACGCTTTATCCAACTCCGTTAAAGGTTCGCTTGATTTTGATGTGTGTATTTGCGTACTCGGATTTAAATATAATACAAAAATAATACAAATATACTACCTATATCATAGCATTCCTTACCATCAGTAACTTGAAGAAAAAGATTGCCATCAAGTAAAGCTGTTGAATTCAAGTTATTCACCAACACCACTGCATATCTTCGAAGTGGTTGATACAAGAGACATAAGGTTATGCTCAACTGAAATAATTTAAATTTCGAAAGATTGAGTATGACCTGTGTTAATCAAACGAATGATTAAAATGATAGTGTGTGCTTTTCATCTTTGATGTCATAAAATAGAGAAGACAAAACCTAGTTATTTACCTGCAGCAGTATTAGTGTTGATACTACAAAGGTGAAAATAACTCTTGGAGATGTTCTTAGCGGTGCACTATCATTTAGTCTTTTCATCATTCCAGTTCTGTATGATTCAAACCTCCTAAAAATTCAATCGTTTGTTTTATATTATTTTGTTGTTACATTTTCGTTTAACTGTATAGATGAATATTTTTCAAATTAATTTAACTTTGGAAATATTTCATTTGATACTAGTATCTTAAAAAATATATTGCAGACTGACACATCATATATTTACACCTAAAGTTTATAAGTATGTACATGTATAATTTACAGTACAAATTGGAATTCAGTAGGATCCAGAATACTTCTAGTACAAATCGGAATTCCAATATCTTCGGGTAAATAAATTATATATAGGCCTGAAAAAGTGTACAAAACTAAACCAATATTAGAAAAAGGAAATAAATAATGTAAGTATCTATAAATATTTGGGATAACAGATATCATCCATCAATATGATTATAATGACGTTAATATCAATCTCTTCTGATTTAACTAAAACATTGTTTATCGTTATACTGTTAAAAACCGAACAACGCTTGTATAATTGTAAAATTTCAAAAATGACGTATGTTAAATATTTACAACATAGAATGTATAGATATGTATGTAAAAAGAAAAGTAATGTGCGATATTAACTGGTGAAAAACTAAAATTTCACAGGTGACGAAAGTTAAGCTATTACAACATAGACTGCGTAGAAATACATTCCCAATTGTACCAGTTCATATCGCACATTACTTTACATATCATCTCTTCAGAAACTGTAACACACATTAAGTCAAATTTTGCACTACTGATACTAGGGTAATCTTTTACTAGTTTTCGGGTGTTTTAATACTTAACCAAACTATGAAATGACCACCATAATGAAACATAGAAGAACTATATGGAAAATGCATACTAACAGCTTCTCAGAAGCACACACATTATACCAAATGATACACTAGAGCTAAATGAAGTGTTCCTCTGCTATTTTTGAGTTTTGGTACCCTTCTTAAAATCAAAGAAGGATGCCCAGACTGTGGAACATAATTAAACATAGAACCACATTGGAAATGAATCCACATGGGGCCTTTTCAGATCCTGTCTCAAACCTGTAAACTTAATCTTGAATAAATAATACTTTGATGATACTAGTTTTGAGTTTTTGGTGCCAAATTGAAATCCAAGACGGTTGTCATCATGGAACACCACTAGACATACTATCAGTGTTTTGTATAAAACGTCTTGCACACTTTAACTTAATCATGTATAATTGATATTAGGGTTGGTGGTGAACACAATATTGAATATTCGTTGCTGTTGATATCAAAATAAAATTTAAAGACAAGAATATCATACCAAATTCAGTTTGAAATTTCCAAATTACCAAGACCCAAATCCGCTAACACAATCCAACAATTTTTATCAACACTGATATAAGTCAACAGTTGTGTTATAAGTAAAACAAAAATCACGAAAGTTGCTGTATTTTACCATTTTTGTTTGTAATAAAGTGTTAAAAGTGGCATTATATCCAGATTCATACTTTTTTATGGATACCCTTGATCCTACTGTCACAGTGTGACTTTATTTATTCGCCTTCATATATATACATCACTGAAGAGACATTAATTGTCGAAATCCGGATATGGTGTACAAAAACCTTTGCACCTTTTGTTTGCGGTATACCATCTTTTCCGCAAGTTTATTGTTTTCTGTTTAGTATTAAATTTATAATTAAGATCCATTTATTACATCGGTGATCCGTTTATTTGGCAATCGCCAATGGCAGTCAGCAGGGTTTAAGAACATTTGTTGTTCGACCTGTTAGTCAAATGCGTTTTGTTAAAATATACTTTTTCACATTTTTAGTCTTTTGGAAAATGTTGTTTGTGCTGTATTTAGACCCCTCTAACAAGATTTTTTTTTTGCATGCACACGTATAAAAATTGCGGTTTTTATCCAACGCAATCATAGGTTTGAACGTTGTTTTCAATTTAGACTTTTTTATATTTTTTCGTTTGGGCTTGTATTATATTTGCCTTCGGGTTTATATGATCCGTTCATCCTATTTTGACTCCTCAAAATTCAAGAGTCTATCCTAAATTGAGGTAAATTGTATGGCTTTCAAAATACCGTTTCGATGCCTAACATCACTGAAGAGACATTAATTGTCGAAATCCGGATATGGTGTACAAAAACCATTGCACCTTTTGTTTGCGGTATACCATCTTTTCCGCAATTTTATTGTTTTCTGTTTAGTATTAAATTTATAATTAAGATCCATTTATTACATCGGTGATCCGTTTATTTGGCAATCGCCAATGGCAGTCAGCAGGGTTTAAGAACATTTGTTGTTCGACCTGTTAGTCAAATGCGTTTTGTTAAAATATACTTTTTCACATTTTTAGTCTTTTGAAACAGGTTGTTTGTGTTGTATTTAGACCCCTCTAACAAGAATTTTTTTTTTGCATGCACACGTATAAAAATTGCAGATGATCCGGTAGCAAACCACTTCATTCAGCATAATCATTCGATGAAAAATTTAAAAGTTACCGCCATAGAAAGAGTATTTGGAACAGAAATTTACAGAAAAACTAAAGAAGCGCTTTGGATAAAAAAATTAAAAACTTTAGAGCCTGATGGACTCAACACAATGTATGAACGATAGTGAAAATATTGATGAAAAATAGAAAAAAACACGGCAAATGAACGTCATAGTAGTTATTATAACGTAATGTATCCAAGAGATGTAATTGTTGTTTCAATGTTGTAATTTATTCCAATGAAGAAGGCCGTTTATGGCCGAAACGTATGGAAAATTGTGTTAAAGTTTTTATATATATATATATATATAAACAAGTCTAAATTGAAAACAACGTTCAAACCTATGATTGCGTTGGATAAAAACCGCAATTTCTATACGTGTGCATATAAAACAAATTTCTTGGAAGAGGGGTCTAAATACAGCACAAACAACATTTTCCAAAAGACCAAAAAAGTGAAAAAGTATATTTTAACAAAACGCATTTGACTAACAGGTCGAACAACTGATGTTCTTAAACCCTGCTGACTGCCATTGGCGATTGCCAAATAAATTGATCACCAGATGTAAAAAATGGATCTTACATATAAATCTAATACCAAACAGAAAACAATAAACTTGCGGAAAAGATGGTATACCGCAAACAAAAGGTGCAAAAATTAGTACACCATATCCGGATTTCGACAATTATATATATAATTTATAATTACGATCCATTTATTACATCGGTGATCCGTTTATTTGGCAATCGCCAATGGCAGTCAGCAGGGTTTAAGAACATTTGTTGTTTGACCTGTTAGTCAAATGCGTTTTGTTAAAATATACTTTGTCACTTTTTTTTGGTCGTTTGGAAAATGTTGTTTGTGCTGTATTTAGACCCCTCTAACAAGAAATTTGTTTTGCATGCACACGTATAAAAATTGCGGTTTTTATCCAACGCAATCATAGGTTTGAACGTTGTTTTCAATTTAGACTTGTATATATATATATATATATAAACGCCTAAAAAGTGTACACAACAACACCAATAACAAAAAAAGGAACTATAAATGTAATTATTTATAAATATTTCGGATAACAGATATCCTTCATCAGTAAATATGATTGTGATGTTGAATGAATCATATATCAGTCTACTTAGATTAAACTATACAAATCTTGAAATTTATACAATAAAAATGTCAAACCGAACATCAGGTAAGACGCTTGCACAATTCTAAATATGTGTTAAACACGACATAGGTTATATGACTAATTACAACAGAGAGTTCAAATATATGCTTTCCATGTTACGAAATGGATCATAATTAATAATTTAATACCAAACAGAAAACAATAAACTTGCGGAAAAGATGGTATACCGCAAACATGAGGTGCAAAAATATATATATATGAGTCTAAAAGATTGTGTAAATACAGCACAAACAACATTTTCCAAAAGACCAAAAAAGTGAAAAAGTATATTTTAACAAAACGCATTAGACTAGCAGGTCGAACAACGAATGTTCTTAAACACTGCTGACTGCCATGACGTTTGCCAAATAAACGGATCACCAGATGTTACGAAATGGATCATAATTAATAATTTAATACCAAACAGAAAACAATAAACTTGCGGAAAAGATGGTATACCGCAAACATGAGGTGCAAAAATTGGTACACCATATCCGGATTTCGACAATTAATGTCTCTTCAGTGATGTTAGGAATCGAAACGGTATTTTGAAGGCCATAAAATTTACCTCAATATATATAAAAGATGGTATACAGCAAACAAAAGGTTCAAAAATTTGTACACCATATCCGGATTTCGACAATTAATGTCTCTTCAGTGATGTTAGGAATCGAAACGGTATTTAGAAGGCCATATAATTTACCTCAATTTAGGATTGACTCTTGAATTTTGAAGAGTCGAAATAGGATGAACGAATTATGTAAACCCGAAGGCAAATATAATATAAGCCCAAACGAAAAAATATAAATAAGTATAAATTGAAAACAACGATCAAACCTATGATTGCGTTTGATAAAAACCGCAATTTTTATACGTGTGCATGCAAAACAAATTTCCTGGTAGAGGGGTCTAAACACAGTACAAACAACATTTTCCAAAAGACCAAAAAAGTGAAAAAGTATATTTTAACAAAACTTGGGCATTTACCAGTAAACTCGTCGAACATTTAACAGTGCTATTTTATTATATTTTATTATATTTTTTGTAAATTTGTATTATATTAAATTTGTATTTTGTTTAAAGCAATAGTCATTTCTTAGATAAATGCAGACTCCAACGTCATCAATCGTCTGTCATTGACACCTACTAGGAATTTAGTACAATCCAGAATCCAGAATCATCCTAGTATACATCTTAATATTCTAATGTCTACTAGTATAGATATTGGAATACCGATTTGTACTGGATTTGAATAAGTATAAATCAGAACTCAAATTTCTACTAGTACATATAGGAATTTGTACTTGGATGATTTTGGATCCTACTTAATGTGTACTATAACATATACTTCATTTGCTGTCGATTGGTTTTGGTTTGAGCGTTCCTGATTACGGTAAATCCAGAAAAAAGCTTCAGACGCAAGAAATTAACAAAATGTATTTTCATTTAAAAAATACGGATATATAGCAGATTAATTTGTATTACTTACTGATAAGCTCCAACATTAGTTTCTTGAACATTACCAATTCCAATTGGAGCATTTTCACCGTTGCTTTTTAACAACCATTTTACATATGTCCTTTCGTAACTAAAACTGACAAGCTGTGTCACAGGTTGCTAAAGACGCATCATGCAGAAGCAATAATGATAAGAATGCACTGACAACGGATTTAAAGGTTCACATGTACAAATTTATTAAAGTATGTAATTATTGTTTTATTTAAAAAATTGTAAATTGTAAACCAATAACAGTAAATTGAAATGAACAAAACATATCTATCATATAGGAATAGATTACCTTAGCTTTATTTGGAAAAACTTTTGAAGTGTTCGGCCCTCAACGCTCTTCAACTCCGTACTTTATTTGGCTAACTGACTTTTTTTTATTCCAGCGTCACTGCTGAGTCTTTTGTAGACGAAACGCGTGTCTGGCGTACTTAATTATAAGCCTGGTACCTTAACGAGTTTTGTTTTATAAGCATTTAAATAAAAAGGTATTTAATGTTTTCCAAACATTAATGAATAAATCAGTATATGTCAGTTATTGAACGTTATGAACAATGGACGTTTGCATTACAGACCGAAGTTATCATTACCTCCATATGAATTTTTTCTTGCTCCTCGGATCATTTCTTTCTTAGTGGGGTTGCGATATTTGTATAATCGAGGAAAACCACTTACTTAGTATCACTAATTGACAACATTTCGGTATCAAAATCTTAAGCTAAGTTAGTTAATTTTACGGAGGCCATAGTTGGTGAACCGTTATGGAATATCGGTTTCACAGATGACGACAAATATGTTCCAATTTTCGTAACTACAATTCCGTTCTTTTTTCCACTAATGTGACCTACCAAATAATCACTTATCACCGTATTTGTACATACATGAGCAACGTGACGGGTGCCACATGTCCATTCCTGGAGTACCTGAGATCACCCCGGTGTTGGTGGGGTTCGTGTTTCACAGTCTTTAGTTTCTCTTTGTTGTGTTTCGTGTACTGCTGTTTGTCTTTTGGTCGTTTTTCTTTTTTTTTTTTGCCATGACATTGTTTTCGTCTTATGAGTTTAAATATCCCTTCAGTATCTTTCTCTTTTAAAGTTTTTATAGAAACAGTGAGATGAATAATTTTTATACACAAATTAATTTTAGCTGATAAACAGATTTATAAAAATGTCTTTGAACAAATAAGCACTTTGCTATTGAAAATTTTTAGATGTTAAACTAACTCCATTATGTCCAGATTTTTTACATGTCTTTAAACTGACAACTGCACGATACACAAAATGACAGAGAAGTATGCCATAACACACCAGTATTGGTACACTGGTAATAATGCTACTTCTATCTTCGGTCTGAAATGAAAATTGATTTCGATTTGGCATTTTATTAATTGCGCCAAAATCAGTGTCATAATTCACTGCTAGCGTTCATGCATATTTTATTTAAACTACACGTTTAAGTTTCTGTATACGAAAGTGCAATTTTAGTCACAGAGGCTACTACATATGTCAAGAACGTGTCTCTGAAAAATGTAGAGCTGGATAAATTTTAAAAACATGTGTTCCTGATTTAAAACAAAATGTTAACTTCCTCATTCAAAGTTGATAGACTATAATTTAAATGTTCAGCTTTGAGCTTTACTGATGAAGGTAATTCCAGATCAGCGCTTCGGATGCATCGAATTCATAAAGACAGTAAGTGTTTATTTCGCTAACCTGTAGATATACTTTTGGTTTGATTTTGGTTATTTGGATAATGTATATTTAAAGTTTACTCCATTCATATTCAAAATACATAACAAAGCGCAAATGGTTAAACAAAGGAATTTGTTTAATTTTAAAAGATGTCTCCTGAAATTAATCTGTTTTCTCTGTATGTATTCGGATTTAAGCCCTTTAAAAGTAAAATGCTTTGTAAACAGAAGGTGCTTAGATGAAAACGGTGTCTTGTACGTATGGTTTAAGACTGGGATAAGACTACGATAGTAAAGACAAGTACTGAGTGAATACTGAATGCATAATTAAAAACTGCATGAACAACCCTTGTATGCACAAACTTGAACATTGAAAAACAATTTTAGCCCTATGATTACAATAAATAGGATTGTGGAGAGTGCGGGTTGATATTGATATTGTTGTTAAAAATAATGTTTTTTTAACTACAAAAATCTTAATTTACCGAAGTATAAACTTCAAATTCTTTGATTGTTATATTCCGCTTGTTATATTTTAAGCCCATATCCTTATGAATGGCTTGCAAGATCGTCATCGTATCGATTCCTTCCTGGTTGCTTGGTAATACAATTTATAGCGTCGCTAGATGTACAATCTACCTTTTACAGTCTTCAAATATCAAAACGTCCATACTTAATACACATTGTTTTCACCAAAAACTGTCTTAAATAGTCAGTAACTGCTAGTACTCTCAGATCTGTACTTTGTGTCTTTTGTGTTATGATGGATGTATAAATACCCTGCCATGTCCGGTCTGGGTTTTTGTTAAATGTTTTTCTACTTTGTATCAATCTGATGAGAGAAGCTCTTTTCAACTGATTTTTATCGTTTGTTCCTATGTTGTACTGTTACACCACTGTCCCATGTTAAAGGAAGGTTGGCGCCCTCAAACATGTTGAACCCTGGCACATTCTGTATGTGCCTGTCCCAAGTCAGGAGCCTGTAGTTCAGTGGTTGTCGTTGTTTCATGTCTGTCATACGTATATGTTTTTCGTAAATTATTTTGTTATGAATTAGGCCGTTAGTTTTTCAATTGAATTGTTTCATATTTTTCATGTCGGAATCTTTTAAAGCCTGCTATACGGTATGGGTTTTTCTCATTGTTAGAGGCCGTACGGTTGCCTATAATTACTTACATCCACTTCATATGAACTTTGGTGGATAGTTGTACGTCTCATTGGCAATCATACCGCATCTCCTTATTTTTATATTATAATAAGGTTTTGAATGAGAGCATGCTTCTTTCCATTTGGAGATCGGGTTTTATGTCATATCATGAATGGGCCTTCTATGGATTTTCACGCATTGCAAGACTGTGAAGAGTTACTTTAATTAAACAGATGGTATGCAATGTTCTACATCATAAAAATTAAAACACTTGAAACCATAACTTGCAGAATATAAAGGACTTTAAAACATCTAAGGGCTGTTACAGCTACTATCAATGGGTGCTGTTTAAGACTTTTCTTCATTTAGCAAGAATGCAAATGGTTCAACATAGTCAGATTAAATTCATAATTAAGGATTTCAATATTTGATCTTGATTTAATTTGTATGCTTTAAATTGCACCCCAATATCTTTATTTCAGGTTCTTTTTTGTTTCCACAAATTTATCGGACCAATATTTCAAGAATCAAGGCGTAAAAATTATAATATTCAAAAAGTTTGTTTGATACCATCATTCATGCATGAGGACATTGAATATAATTATACATTACAAGACAGTTGATTCATCTTTCATTTCGTCCTCCGTAATGTCGATCGCCCTGGACATGACATTTACTTCTTAAAAAAGTACTAAAAATGGTAGATAATTCCAAAACAATATGAAATAAGGAGATGTGTTATGATTGCCAATGAGACAACTATCCAACTCCAAGGGAAGCGGATTTTAGCAGCTATAGGTCAATACAGTCTTCAACAATGAGCAAACCCTATAGCGTATAATCAGCTACACATAACAAAATATGATATAATTCAAACGAAAAAACAACGGAAATGATATATGACAAAACAATAAACGAAAAAATATGAGAGAGAGCAAACAATGAAAACTTCTGAAATACAGGCTCCAGACTTTGGACAGGCACACATTGAAAGTTAACTATGCCTATTAGTACTCAACCCTCCTCCTAACTTGTGACAGTGGTGTACACCACAACATAAAAACAAACTGTAAAATCCAGATGGAAATGGCTTTGACAGAGCGACACGAAGCGAAAAAAAAAACCAAAAAACTAAACTATCATTAAGACAAAAGACTTAAAGTAATGCTCTAAGAGTTCTCTCACTTACTGAAAGATAGCTTAACTTCAATAACATCCATGTAAAAACTCACGTTTTCCCAAAATAATGTTATTTAATATTAATAAAAAAAAAAGAAGAAACATAAAGGTCAACAAAGTGACCCATTGAATATATCGTCTTACATAATTTATGTTAAATGAGATGTGTTTCTTAAATCGTCGGTATCTGCGTGTTAATTGCTGCTGTGGTATTGTCTACTTGTCTTCGGAAAATGACTGTACCAAGTCAAGAATATAACAGTTTTTTCCATTCGTTCCGTTGGTTGATTGAGTCTAACGTTTGATTTTGTCAGATTTTATGAATTCCCCTTTTTGAATTTTCCTTGGAGATTAGTATTTTTGTTAATACTTTTCTACTTTATAGTAAAAATTAACTAGTCTTTCTTATTGAACGGAGTTAATGTGATCTGTACTATTCTACTATCATGACGTCATATAGACATATTTGAATATGTGGTGAGCCTAGATTGTACTTACAGTAATTTCAAGCTGTACAAGTTGATAAATGAGTTCGCCAATCCTTCAAATAGAGATTGCATGAAAGGTTGGAAATTTTACTGTTTTCATGTATTTTTTTTATATAATTTACTAAAAAGCATCTCTGTTGACATTTAGTGTAGGCAGCTGCATTTCATTATTAATAATAAAGCAACGAAAATCGAAAACCGCAGGTGCTGACTTAGAGATGCAATGCATAGATCATAGGTGGTCTATTATTAAGTAAGCTAAGAAGACATCGAAAGATATATGATCAGTATATAATCTTCTTTGGTCATCTTTAAAGTATCTTACAGAAATTTTGATTTTCAATATTAGAATGGTATTGGCGTATGAGTTGTGCATCTGGTTTTTTTCCTGTCTCAATGCTTTAAGTACATTTTTATAGGAACAACAAGTTAATGCCAAATTCCTCCTGACACGGTTTCTCCACTTTTTTCTGAGATCGGTACAAAACAAACATCTGGAAAGTCCGACAGATGGTGAATTTTTGCATTTGACTTAAAAATATATGGTAAATATGCCATTCTGTTTTCAGTGATGTTGTATTTCATAATACCATTAACGGTAACAGTTTTACTGCACCAGATGCGCATTTTGACGATTAATGTTTCTTCAGTGATGCTCGAGGAAAAGATATTTGAAAGTCCAAAACCTTATACAAGCTGACAAAACCAAAAAGAACCAAAAGTTAATCCAAACCAGGACAAACATGCCTTGAAAGATTAAGTTAATTTCATACTTACAGATATGTGCAATATATTAATCCTGTTACAATCCCAACCGGCTCAATTTTATAACTAATAGCAGCAAAAATAGGATAAAACTTCAAAGAGACGACAGTTGAAAGAAGTAGCCACAATGGAACTGAAATTAGACAATTCAGAATTTGTTGGTTTCTACATTGAATGGTAATAACGAACGTTAAAAAAATTAATTAATTTATCATATAACTAATGACAATATCTCTTAAAATCAAGTTTATATTTTTATTGTTCTTACCAAAACTATTAATGCGACTTTAAAGTGTACGATTGTAATTTATTCTATTTGTAGGTTGGTATTACACACGAAAAAAAAGTATACATGTAACAAAAAAAATCGTATTTAGAAATGCTCGCAGTAACTTAAAGCATGCTTTAATTACTTAATAAAACTGATGTACATCCCATGACTCCTTAGACTCTATAATGATTACTGTTCTAACAGCAGTTTAGAAAGAAAAAAATCTTGTGCAATGTCCAATGCTATATGGATGTTCATGTCAGATATTTGATTCCCTCTGCTGAACCAAATTTGTCTACCCATGTTGTCAATGTGTACTCGTATCATCTCTTATACATATTCATGATATTTTTCTCCACTTAATCTATTTCAATCAGCCTATTTAGCTCATTTATCGTAATGAGATCCGGTTTTCTAAGTTTTGTAGAAAAAATATATAAAAAAGTGGCAAGAAAAGAAATGAAAACTCCCAACTAAATAGAAAATAATAGAACAGAAGCGAAAGATACCAGAGGGACATTCAAACTCATAAGTAGAAAATAAACTGACAATGCCATGGCTAAAAAAGAAAAAGACCAACAAACAAACAATAGTACACAAAACACAACATAGAAAACTAAAGACTGAGCATCACGAACCCCACCAAAAACTTGGGTGATCTCAGGTGCTCCGGATGGGTAAGCAGATCCTGCTCCACATGTGGTACCCGTCGTGTTGCTCATGTAAGTACAAACCCGGTAATAAGTCTAATTCGGTAGGTCACATTCGGGAAAAGGGAACGGGATTGTAGTTACGACATTACATTCTGGTACAGGATTGTGTGAATGTTCGCCAACGTCGCCAACGTCGCCAACATTTACGAAATCATTACTGTTCGCCAACGTCGCCAACATTTACGAAATCATTACTGTTCGCCAACGTCGCCAACATTTACAAAATCATTACTGTTTGCCAACGTCGCCAACCTTTACGAAATCAATACTGTTCGCCAACGTCGCCAACCTTTACGAAATCATTACTGTTCGCCAACGTCGCCAACGTCGCCAACATTTACGAAATCATTACTGTTCGCCAATGTCGCCAACGTCGCCAACATTTACGAAATCATTACTGTTCGCCAACATCGCCAACGTCGCCAACCTTTACAAAACCAGTTCTATTCGCCAACGTCACCAACATTTACTGTTCGCCCAGTTCGCTTACTTTGCAAACATTTACGAAATTATTATACTGTTCGCCAATTTCGCCAACATTTATGAAATCATTACTGTTCGTCAAGTTCGCCACTGTTCGACAACATTTATGAAATAATAACAGTTTGCCAACTTCGCCAACCTTTATGAAATAATAACAGTTTGCCAACTTCGCCAACCTTTACGAAATCATTACTGTTTGCTAATTTCGCCAACATTCACGAAATCATTACTGTTTGCCAAATTTGCCAACATTATCGAAATCATTACTGTTCACCAACTTCGCCAACCTTTACGAATTATTATTTTAAAGTTGACTATCTGAATTTAGCCTAAACTGAAAATTGTAGCTTAGTTATATGAAAATCCAAGTTGGTTTGAAAAATTTATAGAAATTTTTAAAGGTGACTATCTGAATTTAGCCTATACTGAAAATTCTAGCCTTTTTAACCTATTAATTAAATCCATTAATTTCACAGCAAGAAACCAATCTTCTGAACAACCTGGCATTCTGTAAGATCAATATATAATTGATATTGCTGTACAGTTTTATGAAAATTCAAGTTGAATTGGAAAAATTATACAAATTTTAAAGGCAACTATCGGAATTCACCCTTAACTGATAATTCTAGCACTTTTTTACCTATTAATTAAATCCATAAATTTGAAAGCAACTAACCAAACTACCAAACAACCTGGCATTATGTAAGATCAATATTTAATTGAGATAGCTGTAGAGTTATATGACAATCCAAGTTGATTGGAAAAATTTATAGAAATTTTTAAAGGTGACTATCTGAATTTGTCCGAACTGAAAATTTGAGCTTTTTTTACCTAAACATTTAATGCTTAGATTTGACAGCAATGAACCAAACTACAAAATAACCTGGATTTTTGAAAAAACTCGCCCCACTTGTGAAAAATAGAAAAATCATGATAAATTGAGTTATGCCAACTCGCCCCACTTATGAAAAATAGGAAAATCCTAATATTGAGTCGTGCCAACTCTCTACACTTATGAAAAAGGAAGTAATACCGTTGAAGTTATGTCTGCCAACGTACCCCACTGATAAATAAAAGTATGAATAGAATTAATGACTACCAACTAGCCCCACTTATGAATAAAATGATTAAACTGTAATGAGTGTAGGCCTTCCAGTTCGCCCCACTTATGAAAACGTTAGAAATGCATCTTTTTTTTTTGTTCTTTTCTTTTGGTTGAAATAAAACAGGAAGAAAGTAGCATCAGCATTTGTGTGACGTTTTTTCCCTGGTAAATATATTCAATGTTTTATAAGATAAGTCAAGAATCATGTGTGTTTACATAATCTTATTCTCAGATGATAGGTTTCACATCTACATAAGTATGCATAACAATAACATTTAAAACAAACATACATTAAATCAATTATGACAAGCACTGGCCTGATAACATAAAAAAAAGTACTAGATGAAATGTCAGCACTAGAAACAAGAACATGAATACATGAATACATTGTCATTAGAAAGTTCAGTAGCTGTCTGCTTCCACGACTGGACCGTTGACACGACCACACTGGCGTAAGAGTCTGGTTGTAGATATGCTGCCTGCAATATACTGCCCCCACATGTTGAATAGGATGGCTTGGTTAGTGCGGGCTTGCTTGCGCTGGTAGCGAGTAAGCTTACCCTCGGACACTATCTTGATCTGTATTGGAGGAGTTGTGCTTCTTCGTGAAGTTTCTTGATGATGGTTTAGAAGGCTGGCTTTTCGTCGTTGTTCTTCTTGTTCAGGCGTCTGTGCCAGCCTATTAACGGGATTTAATCCTTTTCACAAGTGGGGCGATTTTTTAAAAAGTGGGGCGAGTTGGTAAACCAGTTAGGGCGATTTTTTTAAAAGTGGGGCGAGTTGGTGAAAAGGTGGGCGATTAGGTGTGGGGCGA